CACACGATGTCCCACAGCAAATATCAGCACTCTAGGCCTTGTAATAGCCAAAATAGACCTCAGGTGCCCCACCGGTCCTTAAACATTTGGGTTTATTTTCGGGCTTTAAAAAAATTAGCAATTAGTTCCGTTTGACGTGATTTCTTCCTTGTGGCACCACACGGCTTACATCTAACTTGTTCGTGGCAAAAAACCCCCAAACCCTTTAACTTCTTACCTTGATACATTTCTTATACTTTTAGCCTGTTTTTTTCCTCCATTTCAAGCATATTTACATTTGAACTTGCTATGTTGCATTTGATTTTGCTATGTGTTATATTTGAGATTTCTATGTTTACGTTTGAACTTGCTATTGTTGTATTAGGACATTTCATGACGTCATTTGTATATTTGGATTTGTTAGGTGCAATTTGGTCTTTCTATGCGTCATTTCAATTTGTTATGCGTATATTTGAACTGAAAAAAAACCTGTAATAATGTTCGTCCATCAATGTGTAACAATGACCAGTGCATTGCACAATATAGATAGATTACACTGTGAGTGTTTATCGTCGCTTTCAACACGGAAAGGATATTTGAGGCTGTGTGGTGAAATCAGGCGTTCGTCAAAATACAGAAATCGGAGAAAAGGTGTTTTTTCCGCCAGTTTGGAATTTGTTATCGTTTTTTTTTACTTTTTGGCTCAACCTCTATTATTCATGTTAATTGTAGTGGAAAACATTGATTAAAGGCTCAATATATTATGCCATTTTTCTGTTTTCAAGGACTCTTTAGCTATTGGAGTTGCCAAACGTTGAGGGCCATTTTTTCGCTAATTTTACAACCAAGCGACCTCTCTTTCTTCAATCGCAAATATATTGAGATCTATTCAGGATAGATGGGAATTTATTTCTTTGAAAGCAATGCAGATAAATCAGCTTTCTGATGATACCTATAACTCCACATGTCCAAAAATTGACGAGCGCCTGATTCCACCACGTCATGACTTAATTATTACCTTTTATTAGCTTTTTATGCAGAAAGAGTCATAAGCTTAGAGGAGCGACAAGAAGGGGGGGGGGGGGGGGGGCAGACGACAGAATATGGTTAGAGAGCAGAAAAGAAGGTGATAGGAGAACATTTTAGAGAGAAAAAAAGTTTCCATCGCTGTCAGGTTTCGAACCCGGGACTTATTGTTTGAGATGCGAACTCCGTTACCTCTAGACCACGAGAGCTCCCTTGATAGATATTTGATAGGCAAGAAGGAACTATCCACACCAGAGCAGCCGTCAACCACCCATTACTTATTTTTGTGAGTAGACGAGATGGGACCTGCTCTTTCAATGTAATCAAAATGTAAATTCTGAGATAGACAGAAGTGGTTTATTTGTAACTTTTTCTTTCCAGAGATGGAGAAGTGGTGCGTGCATTACGTGTGTGGTCTCCTTGTGTTGGTGCAATGTTTTCTGACCGGTAGGTGTTAAGTCGCTCTGTTGTTCGTGAGTGTGTGTGTGTGTGTGTGTGTGTGTGTGTGTGTGTTTGTGTGTGAATATGTGTGTATGAATGTATGTGTGTGTATGTGTGTGTGTGTCTGTGTGTGTGTGTGTGTGTGTGTGTGTGTGTGTGTG